CACGTTTCGTGGCCCCATAGGGAGCTCCAGCGAAGGCCCCAGTAGCTGCCTCCGTATGCGGTTCCACCCCCCATTTCGGCACACCCCTCACACGTTTCGTGGCCCCATAGGGAGCTCCAGCGAAGGCCCCAGTGGCTGCGCCCGCATGCGGTTCCACCCCCCATTTCGGCACACCCCTCACACGTTTCGTGGCCCCATAGGGAGCTCCACCGAAGGCCCCAGTGGCTGCGCCCGCATGCGGTTCCACCCCCCATTTCGGCACACCCCTCACACGTTTCGTGGCCCCATAGGGAGCTCCACCGAAGGCCCCAGTGGCTGCGCCCGCATGCGGTTCCACCCCCCATTCTGGCACACCCCTCACACGTTTCGTGGCCCCATAGGGAGCTCCACGAAGGCCCCAGTGGCTGCGTCCGCATGCGGTTCCACCCCCCATTTCGGCACACCCCTCACACGTTTCGTGGCCCCATAGGGAGCTCCACGAAGGCCCCAGTGGCTGCGTCCGCATGCGCCACCCCCATTTCGGCACACCCCTCACACGTTTCGTGGCCCCCGCCCGCATGCGGGACTTAACCGTTTTAACGGCAGGTGGCCCCAGGGAGCTCCACCGAAGGCCCCAGTGGCTGCGCCCGCATGCGGTTCCACCCCCCATTTGGCACACCCCTCACACGCTTCGTGGCCCCACAGGGAGCTCCACCGAAGGCCCCAGTGGCTGCGTCCGCATGCGGTTCCACCCCCCATTTCGGCACACCCCTCACACGTTTCGTGGCCCCATAGGGAGCTCCACCGAAGGCCCCAGTGGCTGCGTCCGCATGCGGTTCCACCCCCCATTTCGGCACACCCCTCACACGCTTCGTGGCCCCATAGGGAGCTCCACCGAAGGCCCCAGTGGCTGCGTCCGCATGGCGGCACCGCACCCATTTCGGCACACCCCTCACACGTTTCGTGGCCCCATAGGGAGCTCCCTCTCATTCGTTCAACCTGCTTTGCGGTACTCGTAACTGCATATGGTTGGGTCCATCGCCAGGATAATGTTTTAAAGTTCTTGAATAAAGAAACATCGGCTTCTGCAACAAAAATAACATCGGCGATTTTATAATTCAAAACTGCATGTTTTTTTTGGAGCCAAGAACCATCGCCGATGCCAGGGCGGCGAACATCAAGTCCCAGATGGCGCCGCATCGCCGATGCGGTGCGCTCTGAGGACCCCACCCACTCGTGCCCCATTTCGGGCGCGTGCCAGCATGGATCAGGGATACGTGGATCTGGCACGGGGGCGCCGGACCACGGATCGAGGAAGGGCCCCCCCGAAGGCATATAGCGAATGCCGCCCGATTTGGCGACGGAACGCGATGGTTTGGCATGGAAGCGTGACCTGCCGCTGATCCACGCGCCTCAATCCATGTTGGCGCTGCCTCGGCCGTTGACGGCTGCCTCGCCTTACCGACGCGCACCGCGGAACATCGCTCGATCTTGACCGACCATCCGCTGGCCGGCAACGGCGACCGTTCCAGGATGGCCTTGTCTGGCGGGCTGCCGGAGTACTACTCCAAAGTATAGGGCCCGGCGGCAGCGGACAAGAGAGAGAGAGAGAGACGGGAGGGGGGCTCGCGAGTGTGCCCGCGCGTGCATGGTGGGATGGGCCATTCTGACTCTAGCTTGCTAGGTCCCCTGCTAACTCCCCATGCCAACTCCCCGTACTAAGAATGAGCATGATAATAGTGAGAATACTAATAATCACAATAACAAAAACAAAAACAAAAAGAATAATAACACTAATAATAATACGAATCATACTAAGATGAAGAAAAAGGCAACACTACCTCAAGGTAAGAAACTTTTGGAACTACGCGCAGATGTCTTGGATCTTCGCTGACTCCCCTACCTTGCGCGCGAAGCGCGCCAGGGGCGGCATCGGAGTTGCCGATGCAAGAAATCGGCGCGAACCGTCGCAAGTGTATGCCTATGCGTTGTTGCTTCTTCGACTGCTCCCCCCCTACCCCCTCTACTCGCTCCCCCTACTATTATGTCGGGGCTGTCCCCCTACAGGAGGATTTTGGGCAAACCTGATATTGCCACGAACCCCGACCTGAAAATGGAGGTGGGGATGATTGGCGAGAGTGGCTGGGGCAAGGAAGGAGTTGCCTGTTGTGGGCTTGATTAGACGACGGGGAAGACCTCCGACGAAGAAATGTGAATAATCGTGGTTGGTTTCTCGGTGGCTTCTGGGTGACTGTTCTGAGGCCTCTTGGTTGCAGCTGTGGGCCCCCATCTGGTGTTTTTGGAAGTCTATTGGGGCCTCTTGGGGGCCTCTTGGGCGCTTCTTGGGGCCTCGGGTTGGTGGATTCCTGGGGGTTCCCGGTTTGGCGGATCTGTGGGGATGCTTGTTCTGTGGCGATTGTTCGGGCACGCGCTCGGTTTGGCGGATCCTTGGGGGTGCTTGTTTTTGCTTGCTCTGTGGCGGATGGTCGGGCACGCGCTCGGTTTGGCGGATCCTGGGGGGTGCTTGTTTTGGCGGATCTTTGGGGGTGCTTGTTTTGGCGGATCTTTGGGGGTACTCGTATGTTCTGTGGCGGATGTTCGGGCACGCGCTCGGATTGGCGGATCCTTGGGGGTGCTCGTTTTCGCGGTGACATGGCGGGCGAGGGAAGGGAGTTGGAGGGCTCTGGAGGCTTCTGGGGGCCATCGGACTTCCTCGGAGTTTGGGTGGGGGTCGTCTCTGACTGCATGAGCAAGGAGTGGAGAGCATGCGGATTTCGGGGGCCGTGTGCGGGCGTGTTGAGTCCGTCTGAATATGAGAGTTCGCTGGGGGCTCCTCTGGCCTAGCTGTCCGGAGGTTTGGTGTGTACGCGGCCAGGCGAGGTACGATGTGAGCTCAGCACGTATCCATGCGAGCCACATGGAAGGCAGAGGGGGAGGTGAGCAAGCGACCATGCGAGAGATAAGGTGTCCGGAGTACGGTTCCATGCGAGCCACAGGGAACGGAGGGGGCGCGGATTCAGACGACGGGCAAGAACATTCACTTTGGGAGCTCTGGAGGCTCCTGGTGGCTGTCGGGTTTCGTTGGAGGTAGTGACGGAGAGGTTTTAGAGGAGTAGGTGGCCCAGGTAGCGACGGTGCGTCTTGGAATTGAGGTCAGTACGCGACCAGGCGAGTTACGATGTGAGCTCAGCACGTGTCCATGCGAGCCACATGGAAGGGGGGGTGAGCTCAGCACGCGACCATGCGAGTTCCGAGGTGACCTCAGCACGTGTCCATGCGAGCCACAGGGAAGGGAAGGGGCGCGGTGTGACATAACGGGTGAGGAAATGAAGCTGGAGGTGAGGTCCGTACGCGACCGGGCGAGTTACGATGTGAGCTCAGCACGTGTCCATGCGAGCCACACGGAAGGGAGAGGGTGAGCTCAGCACGCGACCATGCGAGCCACGGGATGGTCTGAGCACGTTTCCATGCGAGCCCAGAAGAGGATAGCCAGTGTGCGCATCACACTGGTTCGCGTGTGTTCCGAGTGGGCCCATCTTTGGCACTTCTGGGGGGGTGCTGGAGGACTCTGGAGGCTGCTCGGAACGTTTTGGGGACCTCGTGGGGCCTATGGAGGGGTCCTAGGGGCCTCTTGGGGGCTTCTTGGGAACCTCTGGGGGCCTCTGGAGGGGTTATTGGGGCGGGGAGCCCGAAGAATCGGCCCCTGCCTCCGCTCCTGGGGCCCTCTTGGGCGTGCCTGGGACGTTTGGGAGTCCGTCTTGGAGGCCTCTTGGGTCGTCTTGAGGACGTCGTGGACCGTCTGGGCGCTCTCTTGAATGTCTCTGAGGCCGTCTTGAGGCGATCTTTGGGGCCTCTTGGGCCGTCTTTGAGCTGGGAGAAGCCGAAAAAGCGAAGACCGAAAAAACCTTCAAAAACCTAAGGAAAACTGTTGATTTTGGAGGCTCGGTGCTCTGCTGGAAAGCTTCTCGGGGACCTCTGAGGGCGTCTGTGGGGCTCCCTGGGTCGTCGGGGCGCCATCTTGAGCGTCTTGAGTCGATCTTTCGGCGACTCGAGGCCTTCTTGAACCATCTTGTGGACCATCTTGGGGCCGTCCGTGTCTCCCGGGGCCGTGTCGTGCAGTCTTCTGCCGTCTTCTGCCGTCTTCTGCCGTGTTCCGCCGGCGTTCCGCCCGTGGCCGGGGCCCTGTCCCGGGAGGATTTTGGGCAAAAAATACCAAAACCATGCTCCAAAAATGATCAAACATAGTTAAAACATCGTCCCAATATTTTTTACTATTTTTGAACATTCCCCCTCTGTAGAGGGACAGGCCCGACTTAACCCTACTAACCCCCCCGACGGACCTCTGGGGCGACCTCCGAGCGGGCGCGCGCCCGGGGACGCAGCGAGACCGCTCGAGCACCACCGCCGCTGCTCCTCGGACTCTGCGCGCTCGTCCCCGTGGCACGCGGCTGCCACGCGGGCGTGGCGCCCGAGGCGCAGCTGGCCGCCGACGGCTGCCATGTGATGCAGCAGCAGCTGAAAAAGGGGCCCAAGGACACAGACATGAAAACACACAAACAACAGGAGCCCCCAACTTTCCCCACAGTTTCTGGGTTCTCCTCTTCCCCCCCCGCACTGCCCATACCTTCCCATGCTCTCCTGTCGCAGGCCTAGAGATTGACACCAACACCAGTTTCGGCGGTGTGCCTCCACCGAGGGAAGAAGATCCCGATCTCGGCTATGGTGGTAATATTCTGGCTTCCAAGGTGGCCGAACTACTACCACCAACACCGAAAATCTAGGACCACCTCCCCCCCTGTGGAGGCAACCCCCTGTCTTGGTGTTGGTGCCAATTTCCAGGCCTCCGATCCTGGGATGTCGACGCTGCCTTGTGCCTATGCTTTCCCTTCCTCCTCCCGAGCAGCGGCCTGCGCGCTCGGGCTGGCCCGGCCGCGGGCCCCCGGGGCCCTCGCAGCCTCGGCGCCTCGACCCGCGGAGACTCGGCGCCCCGACGGCGGCGGCGGGCCCCGGCGGCGGCGCTCCTCCACGGTGTTCGCCCCGCGCACCCTGCCGCCCTCGTGGGTGTCCAGGAGCACCTGGCGCTTGGGGGGGGTCTGGCCCGCTCGATGCCGCGGCTCCTGCACGCTCCTCCTCCTCCGCCTCCTCCTCTCTCCTCCTCCTCCTCCGAATCCTGTGTCTACGTCCTGCTCCTCCTCCCCCTCCCCGCTGCTGCTCTGCGCTCTCCGATACACCTCTGTCCCCCCTCTTTCCCTCTCCTGCCCCCTCTCTTCTTCCCCCCCCCCCCGTGGAGGAGGAGGAGGAGGAGGAGGAGGAGGAGGAGGAGGAGGAGGCGGAGGAGGACGAGGCGGAGGAGGACGAGGCGGAGGAGGACGAGGCGGAGGAGGACGAGGAGGGTGAGTTTGGGGTTGGTGGGCGGGTGCCTGCCTCCTCGATCCCCTCGCGGCGGGCCGGGGGCGTCGCGGCAGCGGACGCTACAAAGACGTGTGTCTAGAGCCCGCGCAGCGCAGCAGGAGGGGGCAGCAGGAGGAGGAGGAGGAGAAAAAGGACTGAGGGAGAGAGGGATGGGGAAGAGGAATATCAGTGTAAACCCAAGAGTCATCAACGATGCTAGAGTAAATCCTCCCCCCAAATTCCCTCTTGATAGGCCCTTGCAACATGCGACGGTTCATTTCCATTGGGGGAACTACCTGGTTGGAAGACACCCTTGTGAAGACCCTGAAGCATACCAAAACATTGGTCTCGGGATTCCAACGCCCCGGATAAACCTGACGGTTGCGTTTTAACGATCTGAATCGTGTCAGAATGCCATTACTAGGATTCGATTAACACAAGAAAACAACGTAACTGTTGCGCCCGCGTAAACCTGAATCCTTCCAAAACATAATTTCTGGTACGCTGATAATGGGAATCCGTGAACCTCTTGAACACGTTGTAAACGAATATGCGCGGCGCCGACGCGAGAACCAACCAGCGAAACCTTGCAAATGTTAAAATGAATGTGCGCCGCGCGAATGCGAGAACCATATGTTGAAAACCACTCGCCCTCAATGCGTGAAACTCGTGCAAACTTGGAAAACGAATGTGAGCGGCGCCAAGACGAGAACCACACTTTGAAAGCAACCCGCATTCAAGATGTGAAACTCTTGCAAGTGTTGAAGAAAAATATGCGCGGCGTTAAGGCGAGAGCTTCATGTTGAAAACGGCACGCCCTCAATCCGTGAAACGCTTGCAAATATGTTTAAAACATGTGCGCCGCGCTAGGGCGAGAGCCACATATTGAAAACGACCCGCCCTCCATCTGTGAAGCTGTTGTCAATGTTGAAGCTTCAGAGTCAAGTCTCAGGCGAAACGCACGGCCCGCCCCAAAAAACTGGCCTCTGGGTGCGACAGGGAGAAGTTATTCATAAGGAAAAAGAATGGAGGACGAGGGAGAGGAGGATAGGGAGGAGAAGTGGGGGGTGGAAGAGAGGAGGAAGAGGAGGACCAGCGTAAACCCAAGACTCCTCAAACGGTGTTGCAATACACCCTTCCTCAAATTTCCCTCCTCATGGGCCCCTACAAAATTTCATGTTCACGGAGGGGAATGCCCCGCTGGAAGATTACCGTTCAAACATCCGTAACCATTTCAAAACATTATTCCTAGGTCTTGCGTTAAGTCGGGCGTGTCCCCCTACAGGCGGATTTGAGGGGAAGAATTAATTTTCCCGGCGAGGGACCCAACCATAAGCAGTCGTGAATAACGCGCTGTGGGTGGCGCTTTCGGTGGAACTCCCTATGGGGCCACGAAGCGCGTGAGGGACGTGCCGTAATGGGTGTGGGAGGCGCATGAGGGCGGTGCCACTGGGGCCTTCGGTGGGGCTCCCTATGGGCCACGAAGCGCTGTCCTGGGTGTGGCTGCCGCATGCGGGCGGTGCCCCTCGCTGGAGCTCCCTACCAAGCCACGAAGCGCTGTATTGGTTGGGGGAAACGCATGCGGGCGGTGCCGCTGGGGTCTTTCTGTGGAGCTCCCGACGGGGCCACGAAACGCTGCGCTGGGTGGTGGCCGACGCGCGCGGGCGGTGCCAGTGGGACCTTCGGTGGCCACTGGAGCTCCCCACGGGGCCACGAAACGCTGTACCGGGGGGGGGGGCGCATGCGGGCGGTGCCACTGGGGTTTGGTGGATCTCCCAAACAATGGGGCCGCGAAATGCAGTACTGGGTGGTGGTCGACGCTTGCGGGCGGTGCTAATGGGGTCTTTCTGTGGAGCTCCCTATCAGGCCACGAAACACTGTACTCGGTGTGGCGGACGCATGTGGCCACCCCCACTGGAGCCTTCCGTGGAGCTCCCCATGGGGCCACGAAGCGCTGTGTTGGGTGTGGCGGCCTCATGTGGCCACCCCCACTGGGGCCGCAGGTGGGACTTCCTATGGAGCCACGAACGCTGTACTGGGTGTGGCGGACGCATGTGGGCACCCCCACAGGGCCCACGTGGTCTGGTCTCCCCAGGGGGGTCTCGCCAGGGGGGTCGACGGAGGCAGGGGCCTCCGCCGATGCAGTCGCCTTCTGGCAAGAGCCCAACGCTGTTCTGCAGACGGCGGTCGCTGAGCAATTGCTAAGTGCCCATGAGTCGGTGGTGGACAAACCTCCCTTTAGTAGACCTCCCCTTGGTGAAAACGGCCTGGGACCAAAACCGACGGACCTGGACCCACAAAAATGACGGCCGCGACGCCCTCTCGCAATCCGAAAACGGCCAATTCGCTAATCGACGTGTCAGGGTAGGAGGTCTATCAGGAGGCCAATACGCCTCCTGTCGTCAGGGGCGGGCGCTGAGCGCTGAGGCCCGCCACGCCAGCCGCGATGCAGCGACGCCCCAGCCGCCGCTCCCAGCCTGCCGGCCGCCGGTCGGCTGCTCCACATGCTGCCGGCGCGGCGTGCGAGCCCCGAAAGGCAGCGAAAGTGCCTTGATGCACGCCCTGCGGTGCTCCTCCCTCCTCCTTCGGCGCTGTTGCACGTTTTTTGTTCCAGCCCCAGCTCCTCTCCCTCTCTACCCCTCTCCCTGCCCCGCTCCTTGCCTCAGGCGGGAAGGCGAGCGCCCAAGGGGGGGCGGGCTCACACACCTCCGCCGCGCGTCCGTCGCCTCCGCCCTGCGGATCCTGCCTGCCCCTTCCTCTCCCGCTCCCCTCAGCTTCCCCCATCCGCGCTGCTGCTTTTTCGGGGTGTGCCCTGTCGCCAGCGCCCAAGTGGAGTGGCCCTTCGTGTGCTGAGAAAACCACCCGGGAGGGGCACTTCTGGAGAGGGCACTCGGCCGCGACTTGCCTGGGCCCGGTCGACACGCACCTCAAAGTCGGGTGCGTGCCAGAGCTGCGGATGGGCAGGAGGAGGACGTCTGGAGGGACGCCCACCGAAGGACGAGCACGAAGCAAGTCGGCAACGAGGCAGGAGGAGGGGGGGGTCAGACGAGGGCAGGATGCATCCGGGCGAAGATACATACCTGCAGCGGGGGCCTCTGGGAGCCGGCGCGTCTGGAGAATGTGCATCGGGCGCCGCGTCCGCTCCAGAGCGCCTTCGGAACGCCCCCACAGCGTCCCCTGGGCCGACCTGGCAGCGAAGTGCCCTGGTCCCGTGCCTGCCTCGCTGGAAACAAAGGCTACAGCGTCCCGTGCCTGCCTCTCCGTGCCTGCCTCGTCCCGTGCCTGCCTCCCCGGAACACTGTGCAGCCTTGCGCTTTTCCTGCACGCCCGCACGTATGTGATCAGCACTTCCGCTTTGTTTGACAATGCGCCGTGAGGGCGCGGCTTCTGTCTGTCTGTCTGTCTGTCTGTGCCTGCCTATCACGACGAGGAACAGAAGAGCAGAAGAGGCATAGCCTCCATGAGGTCTGGATCCAAGCTCGGGTTGTACGCCTTGTTCCGCAGGAGGGCCACTCGTCGGCACGCGTACGGCCACAGGTTCCGGATCGACCTCGGGGAGGGTGAGCGGAGCAGGGTGAGGACGGTGAGGGAGCGGGAGGGTGGTAAGGCAAGCTAGGTGAGCTGGCGTCATATCTGACGTACTACCCCTCCCTCACATCCCTTACCATGGCGTAGATATCCTCTCCGTTCGCACAGTCAGATGTCGTGGCATGGCATAGCATTACATGGCATAGCATGGTGCTGAAGATCAACGCGTAGCATGACATAGCATGGCGTGGCGACGCCCCCAAAAATCAACAAATCGACACGGAATGTGCAATCACCTCCGATGGTTTTGCTTTCGGAGGGCCAAATTCTAAATTTGTGGGCCGACTTGGAAGGACCGTAGACCATGCCGTGGCATGGCACTGGAAATCATGACGCCAACGCTGCAGCGAGAGCACGATTCGGCACGAGCGGAAGCGCGGAAATGAGTCCAGCGCTGCAGTGGGAGCACGATTCAGAACGAGCAGAAGCGCGGAAATGAGTCCAACGCTGCAGCGGGAGCGATTCGGAACGAGCGGTAGCTCGAGCGCAAATGAGGCTAGCGCTTCAGCGGGAGCTACATGTTGAAAAAACAAAACAATCGAAAACCCAATTCCCGGGAATCCTGTGCAAACAAAGTACGCGGAAGGGGGGCTGGACATCCTCCGGACGGCATCAGGGGAGAGGAGAGTAGTATTCATTTTGTCAAATTAGAAAGCGGGAGGGGATGGGAAGGGAAGAAAAGAAGACGGGTGGTCCCCCTTCGTCAACGATCTCCCTAGCTTCATCCTCTCCGTCGCTGTCTCCTCTCCTCCTGCCTCTCCTCCTCCTCCTCCTCCTCCTCCTCCGCACCCTCTTCCTCCTTCTCCTGATTTTCTCACTCCTCCTCCCCAACCTTCCTGATCCTCCTCCCTCCCACAACTCATCCCACACCTCCAACAATAGGACTCACTGAAGCCTCCTCAGGTACTCAAGAGTCCTCAATCCTCAATATTGGGAATTGAATACGCTTCCCAATAGGGTGCAAGCCAGTTACCAGATTTCCTGGGTCGGCCCGCGAGTCTTCTGGAACGTCTGGCGTCACGCTTTTGGGGGCCCGAGGGCGCCAAGACGGGCCGAGAGGGCCCACAGAAGCTCCCCAGAAGGTCCAAGAGTGCCCAGGACTGCCCAAAAGCGCTCCTTGACGACCCAAGGTGTCTGGACGCCACGAGAGGGCTGCAAGATAACCGTAGAGGCAAGCACCGCCGTAGGTGTTCACATGATCCTGGCGTTCTCGCCGTTTCGGGCTTTCAGCGTTGCATGACGCCCCCAAAGGCCCCAAAGACTGCCCCAAGATGGCCCCACGAGGCCCCTAAAACGGCCAAAAAGGCCTCAGGACGGTCCAATCGTCCCCCAAGACCCAAGACGAGCCCAACAGGTCCCTTAGACGGTCTCAACAGGGGGCCAAAAGGGGGAACACGGAAGTGTACTTCGATCCCTCCGACCCAAGAAGGTCCTGAGATCCACCAGGTCCCCGTAAGGCAAAGAAAAGGCCCCAAGCGGCCCCGAAGGAGCCCCCATGAGGCTCAAAAGAGCCCTCCAAGAAGCCCCGAGAGATATCTTAAGAGACCATGATATTAATCAAAGAGGCCTCTGATCCACATCCCAGGCAAGGTTGTGCGATGGGCCGAAGGATACGCACACATTCAGAACCAGTACATGTTCATATGCATGCGGATACATATATTACACACATATGCACACATACAGAAGATGATCGCCCCCCTACAAATGCATACACATGCACATCACTGTGTTTAAACGCGGCTGTATGTAGCAGTGCAATCATGTGTATGTACGCCAATCGTATTTATAGTTGGGCGTGTGCATACATACATGCATAACAACCGACAGACAGGCGGGCATACATACATACACACATGCGCGCCTGAGCACATCCATGCATACAGACAGACGTACATATATGACGGCAACTGTCTATCTACCTACCTACCTACATACATACCCACATACATACAAACATGCATGGATACACACGTACACATATACACATACATACACACATATACACACATACACACATACATACATACATACATGCATACATACATACATACATACACATACATACATACATACATACATACAGACAGACATGCATGCATGCATGCATGCATGCATACGTACACACGCACACATACACACATACACACACATACACCCATGCATACGCTCATACATGCATGCATGTACGTATGCATACATACACGCATAAGTGCAGCCATGCTTACACACCTACAGACATACATGCGTACATACGTGCATACATGCATACGGACATACATGCGTGCATGCATGCATGCATACATACGCACATACATGCATGCATGCATGCGTACATGCATGCATAACTGCATGCATGCAAACATATGTACAAACAACTAGGCACACATGCATACATGCATTCATCCACACATTCATACATGTATACACCACATTATTCACATATGTACATACAGACATAATACATACAAATTGCATACATGCATGCATGCATGCATGCAAATATGCATGCATACAGACAGACAAACCGACACATAGACATGCATGCACGTATGAATACATATACAAACATCAACATATACAATTACCTGAGTATATACATCTATACACGTGTGTCTCTCTCTCAACCTCTCTCTCATTCGCTGTCGTGACGACATCGGCCTCCCGGGGAGGGTCCCGGAGCCCCCGAGCCTCTGAAAGCCTCCCGACGAATACCTTCAACACCATCCGAGGAAAGCCTCGACACCGGCGGCGAAGGGCGGCGTCGAAGGGCGGCGGCGCCCGGCGGCGGCGGGCGGCGACGACGACGGCGAGCACGGCGCCCACGACCTCAGAACGTAATTCGCCGGCGAGGCCCGGCCCAGCCACGAGAAGGCCCGCAGGCCCTCGATGGGCTCGTGGCCCGGGACGCCTGCGCGCGGCCGCGGCACTCCAGTGACCCTCTCCTCCTCCTCCTCCTTCTCCTTCTACTTCTCCTCCTCCTCCTCCTCCGCCTCCTTCTGGCCCTCTGGAGGCCCTTCGGCGGCCCCTCGGCGGCCATCGGAGGGTCTCGGAGCATCTCCACAGGGCCTTCGGCGGCCATCGGAGGCCCTGATAGCGGCGCGGGTGGCGTCGGCGGCGTCGACGTGGTTGGCGGCGGTTTCGTCGGCGTCGGCGGCGTCGCACGTCGTCGACGGTCGTCGTCGCAGGGGAAAGCGGAGGATGAGGAACAAAAAAAAAAAGAAAACCAGCAATAATAAGAAAAAACAGCGCCTGAGGCGGTTCTGTCTCATGACGGAGGATCGGCGGCCCTCAGCAAGGCGGCGCTTGGGTTTCAGTTGTGCATTCCCGCTTTTCGCGTTGGAGCACTTTCTCGACCAACGACGCCACTCTCACCTCATACGAATACTCCGTCTTCAAGTTCGGCCGGCTCGAAACGCTGGTGGCTGCAATGTTTCCTTCGCAACGTGTAGGCACAATTCTCCCGGCAAGCACGATGCTGTCAATACGCTTCTGCAATCGCTTCTGAGGCCTGGTCCTCTTGCGCAGGCTTCAACGGATTTCAACACGTTGTGGGTCGGACAAACACATGGGTTCTTGAGCTTCAGCTTGCGACGCTGCTGGGCCCAAGCTCCACACTGCGTGCACACAAATACTGGTTTGTCAACAGTTCCTGCTGCGCCCTGACATCTCTCACCTGACTCATGCATGGCCACGGCTGCAGTATATAGTACCTCAAATACTCTGGAGTGACACGACCGCCTATGAAAGGGGGCCAATCCACGGAATTATCTTGCAGGATGGCCAAGCACGCGCGGTGCCCGCCAGTTGATCCCAGGTAAGTGGAATCAACTGGCAAGCACCTCGAATTCCTGACAAGATGCCAAGATGCGACCTTCATGCAAGAAACAACCACGGTGGATAGTGTCCGCATCACCGCACTCGCACTTCCCGTGAGTCTCGTACCCGCGACGGCGAAGGAACTCTCGAGTCCAACATCCACCTGCTGCGACAGACTTGCCCGATACTTTTTGATATGTCGAGAACTTCCTGTCTTCCACGCGGACAACAGGCTTCAACGCATTAAACGTCATGCAAGGACCAACTGGGTGTTCACACCAGTCTGCAAATTCCAACTCTTGGTTACGCTGTCGACCTTGAGACATTATGCTTTCCCGCACGTCAAGAGCCAGTTGCAGCATGGGAATAACCGTTCCGCGACGATCTCCCCCAATTCCACCAAACAACGATTGACTAACTGACGCGCCGGGCAATCAGCGCAGCGCGCTCGCAAGGTCCACGAGTTAGCTTCCAAGGCAAGTCATTGAGGCCCCGTCCGCGAATCGCTTATACCAACCAAAACTGCAACTGCTCGAGAGAAACAAGTGCATCTGCTGGGCGCGTGACTGCGATCCAGACCATGCGAGACCACTGCGACTCAGGGGAGATTGTCTGCTTGGCCACTGGATCACCCTCTAGCACCACCATCGCACATGCAGACGCACCAACATCGCAAGCCTCGGCGAACTTGGAAGATTCCCGGCGGAAGGCCCGCAATTCACTATCATCGAATCCACGGAGCCCCATTCCGCGCGTGAGCCCTGGACTTGCACCCGCGCGGAATACCTTTCCAAAGCGAGCATCTTTCTGAACTGGAGCTGCACGTTTATACCAACGACGCTCCCTGTGTCTAGCTTTGGACCGAGACTGGAGACTCTTCTGTTTGGATCGAACCATCGGCGCTGCGCAGGATGCGCCGTCCAGCCAGATCTGCCCCAAGGTATCGGTTTCACTTATTTATCTGCTTGAGAACTGGCCCCAACCTTCTCAGCAACGATATGACCAACGCCAATTCCTGACCATACTATAGCCAACTAACTATTGAAGGTCGCACCGAGTCGCGAAGCCGCCTTCTGAAAGCCAGCTCCTGAACGAGCAACTGTCTCAGTGAGCTGGTCAATTATGCCGGCCGAATTCCAATGCTACGATCAACGTCAAAACCGGAAAGAGAAACACGTCACTGCGCAAAGTCAAGCATCGGTCGACCTCCTCCACCGCGCGCACCTCGATGCCTATGTCAACGCACGAAGACTCCCGCAAGAAAACCTCGCCCGGCATGAACAAGCGCGCGGCTGCGGCGTCGAAAAAGTCGCGCCTGCCGTGGAGCAGACCGCATGTTGCATCACCTCATCAGCTACCTCCTCGCGGCGGGGCTGGGCTTCTGCTTCCATCTCACGCAATCCAAAAATGCCAGGCCAACCGTCGACCCTCCACTTCCACCCTTCAGCTCGCGCCTGAGTGCCTTCAGCATCTTTACCTTCATACATGACATGCTTACATTGAATATTCACCATATCCTGAACACAGCATTGTTGCCACTGCTCGCCCCCGTTGCGCGTGAAATGCGCGCTGCTGCTTTGGCAGCAAACTTGCCCCGTGCCGAGGTCGGGCCCCCCCCCCATGCCGAATCAGCCTCGGCCCCTTGGCCACCTCGAGAGCAGCCGCTGCGCGCCTCTCCTCTGCAGACCAATGACAATCAGGAAGAAGAGGTCCAACGACTGCCGCCGCGGGCAGCGTCGGCGCGACGGAATGCGGGGGAAAAAACATAACCTGGTTTCCGATCGAGGGGAGCTTCAACGCCGCAGGCCGATGAGGTTTGGTGGCCCACGTCGAATCAATAGAGACCTCCTGAAACAGCCACATTGCAGCAGCAGCAATGCCAAACAAGTCAATAACACTGCGCGAAGTTGCTGCTCGACACGTCGCCGATGCCGGTGCAGCCAAAGAAAGCTGAGCCGCGAATGAAGAGGCATGTAAAGGCAGCCTGATTGACCGCGCCTGGCTCCATGTTCCAATCGCCTCTAACAACGCTTGGTTCAACCTGCCCCGCAGAAGCTTGACCAACACGGAACAGTATTTCAGCATCGCGCACCGTGGTTCCCTCAGCGCAGGGGAGGAGTACATTGAACACGTCTCCCGAAGGCCAGCGAGGCACATATATGATGTCATGCAACGCGCGGTGCACTGCCGAAGTTTCACGAGAACCGACCTCTGCGCGAGCAAATGCAGCCGCGCCAGCGCCCGGAAGGTGACTATGAGTCAGTGCGATGGCCCGGCTCCAACGCGCAACTCCAGCCACTCCTCGCGGCCCAGCTAGACAATTCCCCAGCCTCAGCAGCGCCGTGACCGACCTCTTGGGCTCGCGCCACCAGCGCGCAAATTCTTGCCAACTTCCGTTTTTATGTCTCCTTCCCTTGCATTGGCATTGAAGGTCTCGAGTAGCCGCGCATGCTGTCGGCCGCTGTCGGGCTCGTCAGCTTCTCGAGTAACGCCTCCGACAACAGGTGTGCCACAATCTCGCGGCAGGCGGTCAGGAGCGCCACAGGCGTCGATGCTTCGTTGACAAGGCCATGCCAGAACGCAGCCTTATCTCCTCTCCTCGTTGACGTTTGCCCAGCAACTCGCTGGCCCCTTCTTTTGATAGCTCAAAAAAGGGGCGCTTGTCGACGGGCTCGCCGCCAGCAGGCCCCCCCCTGGGGCCCGCGGTTTGCACGGCGCCACCGGCGGGGCCAGCGCCTGCGCCGGCGCCTGCAATTTCGTCGCCAACACTGGGAAGATCACCCATGTGAGCGTCCTGTTCCGCCTTGGCGGGCCCGAACATCGCGTTGATCGCCGTGCGCAGGAGCCCCCGAAGCGGCCCGAATACTCCGCTGCTCTGCGCCTGCTCGACAAACTCTGTCAACTGAGGAACGGCAGCCGCTTCGTTCGCTCATGCTGCTTGCGCCAAGAAGTCTTCGGGAAGCGCGGGTGGGGAGGGGGAGAGGCGCGCCCAACTCGCTTTTCGCCTCGCCGCTGGCGAATCTAAGCCGCGCCAGCCTCGACCTCCTCTTCCGCGACGCAGATCTGCTTCGTCGCGGCTTCAATGCCAGACGTCTTGTCACACATGTCGTTCTGAAACTTCTGGGGCCCCCCATTGCACTCAACCAACTCTCTCTCGAAACGGCCAATTAGCACGCGGCGATTCTCGAGCTTGGCGAGGGCAGCCTCGCGCGCCACGCTGCGACCGAAGGTCCTCGAACTGCTGCCGTAGTCCAGGTAGACCGGGGCCCGCTTCGTCGAGCTGGCTGGTCTCCTTGATGAGCTGTTCCAAATCGGCGGTCCGCTTCTGCAACTTCTCGCGCTTCTCGTCCCCGTCGTTGTCGCCCGTGCCCCCGTCGCTCTCGCCTGCGAAGTTGGAGCCCTCAAACTTGGGCGACTTGTTCCTCTTGAGCTCGAGTGGCATGGCCTCCAACTGCTGCTGCATTTCCGCGCGCGCGGTGCCCCGTGGCGAAGGATCGACTTGCATCCGAGTCCAGCTCCGCCGACTGAGCGGGGCGGAGCACGCCGCCGCTCCACGGCCTCGGCTGCCTTCTGCGCGCGATTGATGACCTGTGTCGGGGCGGAAACTCCGCGGCGGCAGCGGGCGCGGCGCGCCCGGTTGCTCGGTGCCCCGCGCGACGGGCATCTCAACGCAGGGTCCCTCGGGCCTGGCAAGACGGGGCCAGCCTGGGCCATGGCGCCGACGAGCCTCTCGCCAGCCCAGCGCGCGCGCAGTGAAGCACCATCTCGCGCGCCATGACGCGGGGCGACCCGCGATCCGAGGCGGGCGGCCCGGACCTGGGCTGTCAGGCCGCAATGTCAGAATTTTGCCGCGGTCGCAGCGGCGCCCCTTCTGGCTCGAGAGCGCGGAAGCCCTCTTGCGCGACATCTGGAGTCAAAACGGACACGGAGGAGGATGAGGCGAGGAGGAAGAGGAGGAGGAGGAGGAGGAGGAGGAGGAGGAGGAGGGGGAGGAGGGGCTGCTTCGATCAAGCGTGTGATTATAAGCAACTGTCACGTTTCACTTGCGTGTTTCTCCACTGTGCACCTGCCTTGTGTGGCATGCCGGTCAGTGGACGAATCAACTGGATCAACAAGCAGATTGATACGGTTTGAGTGGCTCATGTGTACATCAGCCAGGCACGCGAGTGTAAATCAGCACATTGGTCACCATCGCCGCTTGCTTCACTCGCACCCTGTAATTGACACGTGGCGCAAACACTCATCGGGAGTAACTGGGCTTTGTCTCTGGTTACTGGCCCTGTCCATTCAGGAGCTCATAGGATTCATGATGTTGGCTTCATCTCGCTGGTACCTGCAGGGTCGTCCACGTCCTCACGCGTTAGAAGCGAAGCTGGATGTAACCTCGACCGTGCTGGGAATTCAGAGTCATGGACAGACATGGGCAGCAATGCGTTGTGTACCTGGTTTACGTTTAACGCTGCCCTAGCATCGTCGCGAACCAAATGGCACCTGTGGCAACGGCCTGACATCTCTTGTGGTGCGCGTTAGAAGCTGAGCCTGCCAGGCAACAGCTTATTGTGAAACGCGATCCATACGAATGCCTGGCTTCTGGGCTCGTTTCCTATGGGCTCGCAATACTGTGTGCAGTCTTGAGCAGGGGCGTGTCAATACCAGAACTTGCCACTGCGACCCGGAGAATGGGATATTCCGCTGTCGTACCGATTCCGTTCGCAGGGGTGCTCGCCGATCGCTTTCTCTTACCCAAGTTCGTCACTCACGTTCTAGAGCTGGGGTTCGTTACTCGCAGTCGCATGGCTGGTTCTTGGAAGGAAGCAATATCCTGGGCCCCGCGTTCGCTTCCTGCGCACTGTCGTTGTTTAGTGACGCTTTCACGTGGTGATTTGGGCTGCTGATGACGAATCGAAGCCCTCGTCGGTTATGTGGCCCCAGTCCTCTGGTGACCTCTCGAAGGCTGGCGGCGCCGCTGCCCATGCATTCCCACTGCGGCCTCCTGCTGTCCTTCTCGTTCCCTTATCCTCCCCTGCGTCTCGCCTCTTGGGTTGGTGCGTTGGCTGGGGTCTTGCCCTCACGTGGCCTTGGGGGCATGGGGAATCCTCGTCGCCGACATCTCCGTCTTGCCCTTTCTCGCGCCACCTTACTGAGTATGTAGGCTTCGATGTTCTTGCCTAACGAAATCTGGCGACCGACCGACCGACCGACCGACCGAAGACGAGGAGGAGCAGGAGGAGGAGAGGGAGGAGAGGGGAAGGAGGGGAACACGAGGAGGAGCGGGAGCGGCAAGGGGAGGAGGCAGGAGCAGCATGAGCTCCCCCAGGCTTCTACACTCCCCCTTCCTCTTCCTCAGCCTCCTCCCCGTCACCCAGGGCATGTGGGTTGGGGGGGACTGGCCCCCTTCGAACGCCTCAGCATCCCCCTCCCCTTTAGTCATGCTCCTGACAGTTTCCGTCCCGTCCTCCCCCACCTTCTCCTGCTGCTACCGTTCCTCCAACGCCTCCTCCTCTTCCTCCTCCTCCTCCTCCTCCTCCTCCTCCTCCTCCTCCTCCTCCTCCTCCTCCTCCTCCTCCTCCTCTATCATTCTCCTCGAATATACGGCCTTGTCACTCCTCATCCTCCGCCACCGCCTCGCCCGTCTCTGCCCCCTCCTGCGCCTCGCATTCTCCCCTATGAAACCTCACCCTGACGAGTTTTGCAACCGCGAGCCCCACGAAGGCAGGCCAGATCTGCTGGTCTGGCCCAGGCACCTCCCCTGACACACACAGCGATGCGGACCACGCGCGCGCACTCTAACTTGTCAGGGCGCCACCGTGCCGCAGGCGCTCAGGCGGAGCGCCGTCGGGGTCCCTTATGAGCCCTGAGCTTCGAGTGCTGCAAATGCTCTCTCACTGGCCCGGGCTCCCTGCAAGGAGGAAAGACTGGTCTACTCTGTAAGAACGGTTTTTTGAAGGCAGATCTGCCTTCAAAAAACCGTTCTTACAGAGTAGACCGGTCTTTCCTCTCTGGGGCGCCCTGTTGCGCACTTGAGCTTGTCGCGGAAAGACCTCAGCGTCCAGAACAAATCGCCCCAAGACGGCCAAGACTGGCCTCAAAGACGGTCCCAAGATGTCTCCAAGGCGTGCCGAGAGGCCCCTAAGATGGCCGCGAGATCACCCAAGACGGCCCAAGAAGCCTCCAAGATGGCCCAAGAGGCCTCCGAGAGGACCTCCAGGAAGACCAACAAATGTCAAAAGCATGGATGTCCCTTAGATATTCGAGTTGTTCTGGCGTCGGCTTACTTTGGCTTTCCGACAGCCTAAGCCCGCCCCAGTGGCCATCAAGGTGGCCCCAGGAGCGCCCAGGACGCCTGCGAAATGGCCCCCCGACGGCCCAAGAAACAGGAGGCCCCCAAATTGGATGCCCGAAATAGGTACGGAAAGAATGGGTACAATGCCCAGCCACAAATGTTGTCCCAAACCAGCAGCGGCCGCTGTTGGGCAGGCGGCCTTCTGTCTCAAATGGACACAGGCCGCGACGACACCGACAGCGAGTCCTGTTCAAAGTGAGCAGGTTGGGCATTGCACCCCTTCTTTCCGTATCCAATGCGTTCGTGCCGACCCAAGACGGCCCCGAGAGGGCCACGAGACGGCCCGGAAGGCCTCCACAACGCCCACAAGTGGTCTCCGAGGCGGCCCCAAAGTGCCCCCCAAGAGGGCCCGAAGTCGGCCCCGACGGGCTCGCAAGGCGGCAGCCGACGGCGTCGGACGGGCCAGGACCGGCCTCAGACGGCCGAAGAGCCTCCTCCACGGGCCCCCCAGGGAGGCCCAAGGAAGTCCCCAAGAGGCCTTCGAGGGGACCCCAGGAAGCTCCCAGGCCACAGGAGTGCCCCAAGAAGCCCCAAGGGACCTCTCCCCCTCTTCCTCCTCCTCCTCCTCCTCCTCCTCCTCCTCCTCCTCCCCCTCCTCCTCCTTCTCTTCCTCCTCCTCCTCATCATCCTCCCCCTTCTTTTCACCCCTCTCCTCCACTTTTTATGATGCTTAGTTGTCTTACTATTATTATAAATCTTATCCTTCTGACTAGAGGCACGATTATCATCATTATTGATATTCTTACTCGTATTCTTATTATTTGTATTCGTCTTCGTTTTCTTCTTCCCCACGTGTTCTCCGAAGGGTTTCCACAACGGCTGGAGGAACACGTAGTCCGACAGCTTGGCCGAACTCTGCTCGCGACGATCGGCCACACAGGCTCTTCCAGGCCACAGTGGGCGGCGGTGGTCCGACGTGGGCGTCCTCGACTCGGCGCGACCTTTGCTTGCAGTGAGGTGCCCAGCGTGCCGGGCCGGACTCGTGAGTGGCACTACTGGCCCCGGCAGCGGATTTCCAGCGGGGCCTCGGCCGATCCCGCCGGCAACTCGAGCAAGAATCAAGCCACGCTCCAAGGCGGGCCCAAGACACCTCCAAGACGGCCACGATGGCCCCAAGAGGGCCCAAAATGGCCCCAACCAAGATGCCTCCAAGTCGACCCAATCTGACTTCAAGACAGCCCAGGGGCCATCCAGACGGCCCAAAGCACCAAGACGCCCGAAGAGGGATCCAAGAGGAACCCCAGGAGGCCAAACTCATGTATCCCCTCGGGTTTCAATCGTGTCTGCGTTGATGCTTTTCTTCGCTTCCGACAACCGAAAACGTTCCCTGGGGCCTCCAAGATGGCAAGACGACGGCCCCAGAAGCCCCTGTGAGTGCCCCAGAATGTGCCCAGAGGGCCCCAAGCCGGCCCAAGGTCCACAAATTGCGCGCGGGGGCGGGGACAACATGGACAAGAGACAAGCGAAGATAACCAGTATGCTACTGGCCATGGGCGGGGGTGTGCAATTGCTTTCAGCAGCTACGTATGTGGTTTTAGACCGCCCCCCGGCCTTCCTCCACCCCGCCTCGTCGTCTCTTCCATCCTCCCGTCATTCCCGTATCCCTCCTCGCCCAACTCCTCCCCCCGTCCTCCCCGTCGCTCACCCTCATCCCCCCATCCTTCCCGCCTTGTCGCCTCGTCATCCCGTCGGCAATCCGCTGCCGCAACCGCTGGCGTGGCCGTGACCGTCTCCGCAGCCGCCGCCGTCGACGTCGTCGTCGCCGTCGCCGCCCTCATCGTCCTCGTCGTCGTCGGGGCGCCCCGGTGTATTTGCGCGAGCTGATCGGAGAACTCGGCGTTCTCGACGCGCCCCCATGCCTCGACGATAACGCTCAGGAACTCCTCGACTCGGAAGCCGCGGAAGGCCCCCTTCTGGTACTGCTCTTCCTCCTCCTCCTCCTCCTCCCTCCACCTCCTCCACCTCCTCCTCCTCCTCATCATTCTACTCCCGCGCCGTCGTCATGCTCCTCATCATCAACATCACCATCATCAGAATCTGGCTCCTCCTCCTCCTCCACCTCCTCTTCCTCCTCGTCAGCTCCCTCATCGTTCCCCCGCCTCCACTCCCTCCGCTATCATCGCTCCTCCATCGCACTTCCACGTCAACCTTTTCGCTGTCGCTATCCTCCGCCGCCTCCTCCTCCTCTTCCTCTGTGCCTTGATATACTCGCCTCCTCATCATCTCTGTCTCTGTGTCTCTCTCTCTCTCTATTTGCCCTTCTCAAACCTCCACATCCTTCCTGAATGCTAATTTTTAGTAGTTATAATTTGTCCTTCCTCGAACCTCCTCCCTGCTGCTCATTATCCTCCTCCTCGCTCCTTTTCTTGATCCTCTTCCTCCTCCCCCTTCTGATGTTTGATGTGGTCTGCCTTCCCCCTCATCATTCCAACGTCCACACGTTCCTACTTGCTGATCCCTCCACACCTATCTTCACCCTTCTTCATCGTCCTCCCCCCTTCTCGTAACATCACCATCTTCCTCCTCATCATCATCCTCACCATCATCCTCCTCCTCATGCGTGGGAGCTGCAATACTAGGGCCATCGAACGAAGCGTGATGGCCATCATCACGCGAATCAGGAACGAGGGGGTCCGTTGGAGGTTACCGACGCGGTCGCCTCATCCGTCTCATCACTATCCCTGGTCTTCCTTCTCGCATCCACTTCATCCTCATACCTCAACCTTCGTCCCTCGTCCCTCCTCCTCATCCTCCTCCTTCTCCCCCTCTTCTAGCTCGTCGTCCCCCTCCACGGTCTCCCTCCTATTCCTCGCCCCTCCTGGTCCTCCTACACCTCGTTATGCCACTATTAATGCTACCATTACTGCTGCTACTGCTACGGCTACAACTATGACTACTGCTGCTACCACTACGACTACAACTACTACTGCTTCTACAATTACTCCGTCATCCTTGATATATCATCGACCAACCCATCCCTCTCCCCCATACTTCCTCCTCCTTATCCTCTTCCTCATGATCATCATCATCACCGCCATCATCACCATCATCAACATCATCATCGCCATCATCAACATGCTGTGGTTTGTCCTCCTCTTGCTGTCCCGCTATCTCTCATCGATGGTCGGAATTCTACGCGAGCCGTTTGACTAAGGTCTGGAAGTAGTTATGTTCGAAGACCCTGACGTTCCCACACGATCCGCGAAGAAGAGGTAGGAAGAAAAAGAAAAAGAAAGAGGAACTGAAAAGGGAGGGAACGGCAATGAGGGATGGAGACGGAGAAGGATACACAAAACGAGGGGATGAGGAGAAAACGGAAAGGAGGAAGAAACCGAGGACAGTGAGGGGAGGAGTTGGAGGGAGGAGGATGAGGAAGGGAGGATGTGGGTGAGAAGATGATCAGGACTCTGACGAAGAGAAAAGATACTGAAGACAGTGTCGTTGGCAACGACGAGGGTACCTCTCGGCTGTCAAACCACCGATCATGATTCAACACAGACGGAGCTGAAACACTCGGGCTGGCCCCCGGGAAGCTTGCGCCTTGCGGCAACTCTGCCGTGACATGGAAAGCTGATACCACAGCGGGGCCCATCTGAGTGCACACCAGCGGGCCACTCGAGGGGCCCACTGGAATTCACAGAGGAGACGGGCGGAGGAAGGAGAGCAGGGGGGACGGACGGAGATGAAGGGGCCCTGGGGCACACAAATCAATAAACACCAATAACAGGATTCCGCATATTTTGTCCCATAGTCTCTTGGCCTATGTCCTCCCCCCCAACTTCCCAGATGTTCCCACGCTTTCTGGGGGGATCGACGACGAGTTGTGTCTGTGGGGGCTTCTTCTTCCCCTGCCGAGGAGAGCGAGAGGAGGGGGGGCACGCAGCGCGCCCAGCAAAGGGGAAGGGGGGGGGGGCGCAGGCCACCCGGCGAGAGCGCGGGCACGGTGGTGAGCCGGGCGGCGGCCCATCACCGGGGGCACCGCATGGGAGGCATCGCCGAGGTCCGCTCCTCCCGGCAGCCCCTCCCCACAGGCTGCCCAGACACGGCGGCCCTCGGGGCGCCTGTCGACTGCTACTCGGGGGTTAGACGTCGATGGGGCTCCAGAGGAGAGCTCCAACGGGCTGGTCGCGACGCCCGGTCATGAGGAGCAGGAGGAACAAAAGCAAGCATGAGGAGAAACACGACGGTCTGCGAACGATATCATATCGCTTCCCTTCTTCTCTTCCTCCGTGTCTTCTTCCTCCTCCTCCTCCTCCTCCGCCTCCTCCTCCTCATCCTGCTCCGCCTCCTCCTGCTCATCCTCATCCTCTGCTCCTGTTGCCCCCGTCATGCTGTCATCGTCTTCCTCCCACTTCCCCTGTTACCAACGAAGGCGACGACAACTGTGACGACAAAAACATCGACGCCGACGCCGACGCCGCCGCCACCGCCGCCGACGACGACGACGCCGACGCCGCCGCCGACGCCACCGTCGACGCCGCCGTCGCCGTCGCCGCCGCCGACGCAGACGACAACGACGACGACGACTGCGCCGACGACGACGACGACGCCGACGACGCCGACAACGGCGACAGCGCCGACGCTGGCGAGGGCGACGGCGCCAACAGCGGCGACGGCGACGGTCGTCATCGTCCGAGCCTTCAAAAATCCGCCGAGGGCCTCCCCCCGAAGGCACCCCTCCGGGAGGCCCCTCCCTCCGGGAGGCCCCTCCCGAGCGAGAGGCCCTCCAAGAGGCCTCTCCGAGAGGCCCCCCCCGAGAAGCCTCTCCGAGAGGCCCCTCCGAGAGGCCCCTCCGAGAGGCCTCTCCGAGAGGCCCCTCCGAGAGGCCCTCCGAGAGGGCCTCCAAGAGGGCCCCCCGCGGAGAGGTCCGTCCGAGGGCGCGCGGCCAGGCGTGGTCCTGGAAGCTCACGCCGCCCTCGGCCATGGTGCTGGAGCTGTGCCTCCGCGGCCCGGACGTCGTCGTCGGCGTTGTCGCCGTCGCCAGGCGTCGGCGTCGCCTAGGCAAACACGTGCGAAACCTGCGGCGGGTTCTCGCGGCGTCGGGGCGCACAGAGGTTTGTGACACCGCGTCGATCGTTCAAACTTGAACCGGTTGCGGCCCCGATCGTTCAAACATGAAATCCGTCGGGTCCTGTGGCGCTACCGTGTCCCTCGGTGCTTACGCGTCGTTGTACCATGCGGAGTTCAACCTTGAACACCTTCGCCAGCGCCGCTGGCGCGCCATCGCCGCACGAACCTATCGTACCCCTGCAAGTCAGATGCTTGAAAGATGTCTACAACCAAGTGAACTCCAGCGGGGGTGTCCGATACCCCAGCGTCGATTGGACATGCGGAAGTCGGGTTCGCAAGTGGTAGCAGAGTTGCCGTCGCTGGCATCGGCGTCGGAAACGTCGGCGGCGTCTGCAAGCCGTGTTCGTGTCCGTGCCTGCCTCCTCCTCCCTTTTCTTCTCACTCATCGGACACCGTCCTCCCTTTCTTTCGCCCTTCGCTTTCTCTTCCAGTCTCCTCACATGCCTCCTCCCTCTCCTCCTCATCCCTATCCGCTCAGCCTTCACCTTGTCTTCCCCCTCCTCTTCCTCATCCCTTCTCCTCACACGTCTCCTCCTGCTCCTCCCCAGCCCTATCCGCTCAGCCTTCACCTCCTCTTCCCCCTCCTCTTCCCCCTCCATCCTCCTGCCTTGTGAGAAGGCCCCCCCCTTCCCCCCAGTGCCCCACCACCAGACGTGTCCTCAGGCCAGGCCGGGCGCCTCGCTTGCGACTCCCTTGGGAAGCTGCTGCTCGTTGTGACGGACCGTGTGGTGACCTCGGAATCCCCCAAGACCTCACCGCACGGTCCGTCACCGCACGGTCTTGGGACCCCGGAGGCCCCTGTCGCCCGATACGTCCTGGGAGAACGACTCCAGTCCCAAAACCGTGCGGTGACCCCGAACCCCCACCGACTCACCGCACGGTCTGGTCACCACCCCGTTTGTGGGCCCCCCCGGAGGCAAGTCCTTCACAACACCGGGACTCGCCTGAGTGGCAGGCCCGCCAGGCATTCGTCGCTTGACCGGGCGCTCCCCGCAGCGGCAGGATATGCCTGCACAGACTCGGGAGCAGGGGGCTTTGGTTGTGTTGCTCCCACCGTACTCAAGGACCACATCCCATAACTAATTTCGAGCACCCAGAAAAGTGTCGAAACAATGTCGAACGAGCGTCGCCTCCCAGGGCCCGACACGTGAAAACCCACAAGTTTCGGTACTTTCTTGGTGCTGGATTTTTGTTCTGGTGATCAAGGCTACAGTAGGTTGGAACATCATACGACTTTGGACAGGAAGGCACATCTTGCAGCATCGCTGATGCCCATCCTGGGTAACCTCTTGTACGCCACCTTCTTCCCATCTTCCTGTCCGCCTCCTTCTCCTCCTCCATCCTCCTCCTTGTTCTCCTCCTCCTCCTCCTCCTCTTCCTCCTCCTCCTCCTCCTTCTCGTCGTTCCCCCTCCCTCCTCCCCCATCTGGCGCGCCACGCCTCTGGAGAATGCCCGCCAGAGAGGCCTCGTTGTTGGCCAGACCGATGCGGCTGACGGCGCGCTTGAGCTCCTCTGCACAGCCGCCGCCGCCGCCGCCGCCTTCATCTTTCGGGGGAAGCGCGGGACCTCTCGAGGCCTCAAAACCTCGAGGACCAGCCCCTGCGGGGCGCCGCGGGAGGCCTTTGGGAATAGGTGGGCGTGGCCCGCCGCTGCCGCGGCCATCACCGCCGCCGCCGCCGCCGTCTTCCACTTTGTCGTGGATATCGTCGTCGTCGTCGTGGTCGTCGTCGTCGTCGTCGTCGTCGTCCTCGCCGTCCTCGCCGTCGTCGTCGTCGAAGTCGAGCTGGTCTCGGAGGTGGCTCGGAGACGCTCGGTGCTTCCAAAGGTCGCGATCGCCGCCGTCACCGTCGTCCCCACCAGCCCCGGGCAATCTCGAGGCCCCGCGGAGCGGCGCAGGGCTGCGCCGCGACCCCGTCAGTGCGCCCTCCCAGGCACTCCCCGCGCCACCCTGCCCGCGCGCGCTCCCTCCGTGCGCCTGGAGAAGCGCCGCCGCGACCGCATCCCGTACACGGCGGCCCTGCGCCGTACCATTCTTGGGCTCCCTTCAGGCTCCGCCCCAGAGCGGTACGGTGCATAAGCTCTTCGGCCCTGCGTGCCGAGGACCGACGACGCCTCGGGAGACACCAACGCGTAAGGGCGCACACAAGTCGTCCGCGGACAGGACGGACTGGCCTGCACGATTCCACCAACGACTCCTGGGATATAGCCGCTTCGTGACGCCATAGCAGCGACGCCTGCCGATGCCGAGCCCTCGGTGTCGGAACAGATTTCCCCTCGATCCGAGCCCTCCTGCGCCCGCAGTCGAGGAAGGCCAGCCCCATGGCTCCAGCCTCTGGAGGCTACCTGGCTCACTCACGCGCCGGAGCAGACTGGAGACAGGCGCAGAACTCAACACCTGGCACTGAAAATTTGATGACAACTCTCATGGGAGCCTCCCATGCCATCTTGCTGGTCCTTGCGAATCGACGCTGACTCGACACCAACTCGACGCTAATCGACACTCCTCAACGCGAAGTCGGCGCGCTCTCGTCGACAGCCAGGCGCCCTCGCACGCTGCGGCACTCGGAAGACGGCACTGCGGGAGCATACAGGGCTCCTATGACTGGCGGCCGAAAGGAAGAGACCCCGAGGCTGGACCGCGAGCATCGGACATCGCTGGCCAACGAACAGTAGACGGGCGCCCCCTCGCCCTCCCCATCCGACCTCACCTTTCGTTTATTCTTCCTCCTCCTCCTCCCACATATTGCTCATGGTCACCCTTCCGCTCCTCGTCCTACTCCTGCTGCCACTCCTCTTCCTGTTCCTGATCATCATGCTGCCACTTCCCCTCCCGCTCCTCCTCCGCCGCCGCCTCCTCCTCCTCCTGCGTCCTCCTCCTCCTGCTCCTCCTCTTCCACCTCCTCCGTTCCATCCTCCTCTTTCCCCCCTCTACCTAATCCTCGTACTCATCCTTCCCATACTCGTGTTCCTCCTCCTCCTCCTCCTCCTCTTCCTCCTCCTCCCCACCCTCCCCTATTCCACAGCCTTCTCTACCCTCACCCAACCCCCAGCGACCACGCCGCTGCACGCGCGAGGATTCGCGAGAGAGGAGAAGGGGAGAGGAGAAGATGAGAGGAGACGATGAGAGGAGGAGGAGGAGGAGGAGGAGGAGGAGGAGGAGGAGGAGGAGGAGGAGGAGGAGGAGGAGAGGAGGAGCAGTTGGAGAAGGAGTAGGAGGATGAGGAGGAGGAGAAGCAGAACGAGGAGGAGGGCGAAGATGAGGAGTACGAAGAGAAGGGAGGAGGGGCAGGAGGAGGAAAAGGAGGAGGGCGAATAGGAGCGAAGGAAGAAGGGGAAGAACTGGAGGGTGCGGAGGAGCTGAGGAGACAGGAGGAATAAAGGAAGGGGGAGGAGAAGAGAGAAGAGTGGGTGAAATGAACTACCGTTGAACTACCAATAAACGTTTCTGCCCCGCGGGGTAGCGGCCAACCCGTGTGCCGACACCCCGCAGAGAGTGACGAGAGAGAGAAGAGGACAGAGAGAGGAGGATGAGAGGAGGAGCAGGGAGGGAACGAGGCAGAGCAGGGAGGAAGGAGAAAGCAGGGCGAGGAAGACAACCCCATCCAGCTCCTCGATATCAAGCGACTCCGTGCCGAGCCTGTCCTCCTCCGTGAAGAGCCGCAGCCCCCAGCCGCGCGGCAGCAGGGGGGCGTTCTGATCGATCGCGCCCCTGCTCCTGCTCATCCCTTCACCTCATACTCGTCCTCGTCCTCCGAATCCTCCGCGTCCTCCTCCTCCTCCTCCTCCTCCTCCTCCTCCTCCTCTCCTCCTCCTCCTCCTCCTCCCCCCCCTCTTCGTCGTCCTCCTCCTCCTCCTCCTCCTCCTCCCCCTCCTCCTCCTCCCCCTCCTCCTCCTCCTGCGCCCCCCTGCTCCACATCCTCTGCCCCCACCTCACCCATCCTTGCCCCCCACCCTCTCCCCCCACGGCTTATCGATCCAGGAGGACGGGCACTCCCCCCGCCTCCTCCTCCTCCTCCTGCTGCTACTCCTCCTACTCTTTCTACTCCTCCTGCCCTTTCCTCCCACTGCCGTTCCTTCCCTGCCTCCTTCTCATCCTGCTTCTCCTATTCATCATGGCACTGACGGCGCGGCTGTCTGTGACTGAGAGCCGAGGCCTCATCCCCGTCCCCCGCCTCGTTCTCACATCCTCCACCTCCCTCTCATTTCTCATCCTACTCCTCAAACTGGTGGCCATACTTGCCTTTGAAAAAAAACACGCGGCCGCACCCATTATGGACGCCCGTTCCCCCCAATCTGCATGTGACCCCGTACGTGTTGGGAGCCTCCTGGAGAGGCGTCGAAGCTTCCGAGGGGGGAGGGGTCTCGGGGCGAGCGGGGGCAGGGCGGTGCCATTGCGGAGGAAAGGAGGAGCCATGACGGGGAGGAGGGGAGGAACGAATATAGTGGAGGCCAGTCCACAAGACACCTTCCACAAGAAACCCAACCCTGAGACCCCAGGGTGTCCATGGATTTCTGGTGTGGGAACGCCGCGCTCGCCACCGCAAAGCCATCGAAGCCCAAGACACCCCGGGCACCCTGGAGGCAGGCAGAGTGTTTCTGGGCATGGGTTTCCACTGTACGGGAGGAAGAAGCACAAGGAGAAGGACGGGGGAGCGTGAGAGCGCATGAGGAGAGGGAGGATGAGAAAGGCAGTGCGATTGGCCCCTCCTCCTCCTCCTCCTCCTACTCCTCCCCCTCCTCCTCCTCCTCCTCCTCCTCCTCCTCCTCCGTCCGCCCCTCCTCATCATCCTCCTCCTTGTGTTCTTCCTTGTTATCCCCCTCCTCCGTGTTCTCCTCCTCCTCCTCCTCATCCTCCTCCTCCTCCTCATCCTTGTTCTCCCATTCCTCCTTCTCCCCCTCGTCCTCCTCCTCCTCCGTCCGCCCCTCCTCATCCTCCTCCTCGTCCTCCTCCTCCTCCTGAATCCTGACGACGGCGACACCGACGGACCAAGGACGACGGACGACGACAGCGAACGATGGCGACGATCCCAGCTCCGTGGACGGAGGAGCAGGGGAATGGGGAAGGGAGAGGGGTGATGACGAGCGAGGTGCGTGCGCGCCACAGCTGACATCCTACCCCTCCGACGCATCCCTTCCCATTGTGCTGATGGTCTCTCAATCCGCGGTCGCGTGTCATCGCGGACCTGGAGCTCTCAGGGGGACCCCATCGTGTTATGCGCAGTTGGGCGATTGGGAGATGAGCAGGAGGATGAGCAGGGGAAACACGTAGGAGGATGAGGAAGGAGGACGACGAAGACGAACGGCAGCAGCAAGAACTGGCGTGGAATGAGCGGTGTGAGCGGAAGAACCAGGGGAAGGCGGAGGAGAGGAAATGAAGGGGGCGACAACGATACTGAGGCCTCGACTCCAGAAAAGTGCCCCGCGCTTGGGCGAGAACGCCATTCTGAACGACAAGAGAAAATCGCCGATCTGAAAATGAGGCCCACGCTGCAGCAGGAACACTATTTTGAAACACCGGAAACCATCGAATTACATGTAAAACACGTGCAACGGACCAATTGTTGTCCAGCCGGGCGAAAACAAACCCAACGCGGATAGGGCGGAGCACCTTCCAGGCAATGGTGAGCGTTCTCTTATTCGGCGTTTCGACGTTGGGCGGACGGGGAGGGAGGGGGTGGGGTCTGGCTCCGGACCTCTGCTTAGTGCGACTGTTCGCAAGAGTGCGGCCTCAGGGGAAGACTCCACGTGATCTTTCCAGGGCTGACATCGGAGTGCACCTGCTGGGATCACCCCGCCGTCCGGCATCAAATGATGGTGGACCCGAGGCCGACTCTAGCAGGCACGGTGCTGGAACCTGGTTTCATCAGCTACGGTGATAAAATATCCCAAAGCCGCAGAGGAGGGTCCCTGGTTGGGACTTTGACCAAGGTAGAACGGGAGGTTCTGTCACTCTTGCTCAACGCGCTAGGCGGATTAGACATGCTGGGAACTGGCAGCATCTGCTACTGTGCCATTGTCTCCCACAACCGCCTGGGGAGTGTATGTTGTTTTGCATTACGTTGCGGAGGATTGTGTATTGCTTTCTTTACTGCTCAATGGGCTTGAAGAGCCAACCTTCAGTGGCGGGGTCAATAGCAATTCAATTGTTGTCCAAACTGCTGGTGGTTTATCGAACCTTCGACCAATAAAGAAATTAAATCCGTGGCAAGAAACCACGGGGCGCATTTTGGTGGTGCAGTTGCTGGCAAGCGTTTGCGTTGACCGGTGCTGGTTCACTCTTGGCCTTCGACCCTTGGGGAGTACTGAGCTGCCGACTCGGTCAGCAACTCGATACTCGCGTGGGCGAGTGGGTGGGTGGGTGGGTGGGCGAACATAACACGCGCTTTTGTTTTGAACGAAGACTTCATCTCCTGTAGGCAAAGCACTGCGGGCGCACCCAAGGGCCTCGGCACGCTGCTGAGCAGCCTCGCCGAGCCACTGCCTCCGTGGAGCCCCTAGGCGTACCAAGCA